ATGTGATGGAGCAACCCAAATATTGCAAGGGCACCAGGGCAAGTGGAGGAAGAGCCACTGGCATCCTAAACACCAGGAGCAAGGTGGGTGACTCGTGCACCAAAGACCAATGGAAGAACACATCTTTTTTTGTCTAGAACAAACCCAGCCCCCCTGCCCCCTCACTCTTTTTTTAACTACTATAATGACTTAGCTGAGAACTAGCCACTGGTTATCCTCACCAGGAAAAATCTGCTTCCCAGGGAGAGCCTCTCGCCACCCGCCGTCACATTGGTATGTGATGTTCCAGGCAGGCTTCATTCAAGTCTGCTCTTTGCTGCTTTTCCAGTATGTTCTTTATTTTTTAAAGAAGAAAACAAAAAGTGTTTCCTCTTCTAATCTCTAGGTCAGAAGTCACGGATTAATGAATTAAAATGGTTGGGATACAGACACATCTGGTGTAAGCCACTTTGCTGGATATGTTTTATACCAAGCAACTTCTCTTTGCCACATTGGAAGTGGTTGCATCAATGCAGAGTTTGCTGGTTGGTCCCCTGGAAGAGTCTGATGCGAGGCCCTGGTCACCTTGGCGAGGCTCTGTGGAGCTGCTGGTAAAGATGTGCAGTGGTCTCAAGCGTCCTATTTGAAGCCTGGCACAGGACTCTGTTCTGCTGGTGTTTGCACGTGAAATGGGGCGTGGGTGATGAGCTTAATGTGTGTATGAAAGAACAAATAATATACCAGTGGGCAGGCAAGTTTTTTGCAGGGAATAAGACCGCTAATTCAATTGCAACCAGCAGCCAGTGTTCACCTTCAAGCAGGGGGCTGTTCTTTCCAGCATAAGTGCAGGGGTATCATGTATTTGCATTTCTGTAGGTCCTGGCAGGACTCGCCCAGACCGGAGATGCGAGCGAGAGCTATATCAGGGTTTACTTGATATATAGAGATAGATATATAGATAGATATATAGATATAGATATATCTATATAGAGATAGATATCTTACTCTCTCTGTATAGGTAGATATATATATCAAGCAACCTTAAAAGGAAGGGGATAGGGAATATATATATATTTCCTTCCCCCTCCCCTCCCCCCGCTTCCTTTTAGGAAGCATCCAGCTGCCTAAGCCTTCTCTTTCAGAGACCTGAGACTCACAGATGCTGTTTTTTTTTTTTCCCCTAGTTGTAAGCTCCTCTGTCCCCATGTTAAAATACAGAAACTAATATTTTTGCCATCCTTTTTTCACAGCCTTGCTAATAAATCAAACTGGTTTCTCAGGTACATTTTTCTACCGACTTTAGTTCCTTCAGCTTTGATAACATTGACTTCAATCTCTTTTTGGTAGGTCTACCTATAGTGGATGCTGGTAACGACCGTAACACTTGCTTGTCAGCTAGGAAACAGAACAAGTGTCCCCTCTCCTGCCCCTTCCAGGTGGTGAAAAATTTCTATTCTCATTTCTTGCCACCTGCTACTTGCATTTACACTGATATCACCTACCATTAATCATCTGTGCCCTGTATAGAATCAGCCAGTTCAAAAGAGTAATGTACAATTTAGCATTTTCTCTTGCACAAAGCATTAAGTTATTTTTGGTCGGGGATCTGTCATGCAGAGCAGAGAAGAAAAATTCCTGCATCTGAAAAGACTGGGCTTTGATGTTCGTTTAAATGGCTTCAGTATTTATAGTTTTGCTTTGTGGGGGGGTTGTTTTTTCTTAATGCCGTATGGTTTCTGTCGAGCACCGCTACTGCTTGGCTCAGTCATCCAGCTGGCACGAAGACGGAGTTGCACAATGTGGCGATCTGTGCTACTGCTCTTAAGAAGCTTTATCTTGTTGGGAATTTGATCCGTGATTTGCCTTCTCAACTTGTGGGGTCTGAGCCAGCATGACACTTAAACACGTGTGTAATTTTGAGCACATGAGTAGACTTCATTGCAATCAGTGGGCCTCCTCAGAGCTTTTAAGTGCCATGTTGGATAAAGGTCTTAACGAATACATTTTCAAAGTGTGCTTTTCTCTAGTAAGGAGAAAAAAAAAAAAGATGTTAATGATCCAAAAAGAATAAAACTAGTTGTAAATACGGAGGGAATTTAGTGAAAACACTTTTGTAAAGGTCAAATGCTTTTTATCATTGCTTTTTGTACATATTTGTAGTTGTGGTTTGGTTTTTTTTTATTTGAGGGATGAAATTTTCCCTTATGAATACTTGGCACACTTCACGTATCCAGTATGGCGATGTGTTTTAAAGGCGATCTCAATGGAAGCTTTGGTCTGGAGCAAAAATAATCGTCTGTTATGTTCAGGTTTAGGATTTCAACTGTCAAGTCTTTGAATGGGTTTGCAGAGGATATTTTTAGTGTTAATAGCTGTTCAGTGGACTCTATTGTTGTGTTTAACAGTGCATATTAAAGTACGACTTTGCAAACCGATTTCCAGTTTCATTTGTTGATGTTTTAAAGGATGCCTCCTGAAAGGCACTCATTTGCAAGAACATTTTGAAGACAAGCTTTTCCACTTAATGTCCCCTTTGGTGGGAGTTATCCAGGTGCTTTGTTCTTTCTGCTAATCTGCTGCCTTCTAAAATTAATTCTGGCTTCTGAACCCACTGTTTTCCTAGCTTGCTTTCTCACCTGTGTGCACCCACCCTACCTTCTCCATTTCTACTTACCTACCCCAAACCTACAACATGTATTGGTGGCCTTCTCCAGGATAGTAACTGTGGCAAATTCAAGTTACAAAACGAGCGTGCATGTATTACGGAGGTAATTTTCTATCCAGACTGCTGGCTGAGACAATGGGGAATTTTCTCTCCTGCTATATTGGGAAGGGAGAGAAGATTGCCTTCCATCTCAGGAACTGGACAGGGATTTGGTGGGATCGGGATGAAATTCCTAGACAGCCACTAGCTCTTTTGAGGAGGCTGCCTGTTCCCTGTGCCTCTGCTCCATGCCTACAGCATGGGAATGTGCATTGCCTCTAGTACTGGAGGGCTGTGAAGAGTGATCTAGTAAGATTACTGTGATCTAGTAACTTATATGTCCTTGTTACAAGAACTAGCTGGAAAGATGCTGCCACTTGTGCCTGCGGGGCTTAGCCGTATCTGGGTACAATCATTTCTCCAGCTACTCCAAGAGAGGGCACAGCATACGTTGCACACACAACCCCCCCTGCCAAAATGGTATTTCCATTGCAAAGTCGAGCACTGAAAGTTAAGAAATGCTAGCATTTGTGGCACAGATGAACTGAAATTGGCTCCATTTGCATATGTATTAAAATGGTCTTTAATTGCATAATCTCATACTAGTTTTTGACAGAGAAACCTCCCACAGCATTTTCTTTTAACAGAAGTGTGTGCGTGATTTTTTTTTTTTTCTTTTTTATTAAAGAAGAAAATGGGGAGGGAATAAACTTTATCCAAAAATAAAATCCCAAAATAAAATGATAAATACAATATGTTCTACAGTCATTGCCAAGCTGGGCACTTTGTAAGTCTTTACAGGCCTCTGCTGTGCTGAGTGAAAGGAATCGCTGATAGGAGCTGCAGTAGTGAATCATCCGGCAAGGGAGAGGAGGCTTGCTAATGTAATGTGTTTGATATACCCTGAGCCTCGAGTATTTTGGGTTCTGTCCCCGGTTTGGAAGAAGCGTGCGTCTAGTGTGGCCACAGGCCCTTCTGCTTCTGCACTGTCCATGCGCACACCCAGCCCTCAGCCAGTCCCGTCTCCTTCCCACTCCCTTTCTCTGCCGCCGCATTCCAGTAAATCTCTACCTTGTTCTTCCTGCTCGACATGGAGCCACCTGGGCTTCTCATCCCCATCCCCCAGGTTTGGATAAACCCAATCACGTGCCTGAGCGTACAAGTATCCTATATCCCTGAAGTAAGGGAGGAACCCAAGGGAAGGTGCTCTACTGCTGTACCTGTCAATGGAGGTAGCACGGGTGGGCTGCCAGGGTGGAGGCAAGGAGGGAGTTGGCCCATGGGGTGGCAGGTGCACTTGGGTGAAAGGGCTCCAGGGCCTAGTGTGCAAGAGGGAAGGAACTGAGTCCAAGGGTAAGACCTGCTCTGGGTGTGTGTCGGGGGGCGAAACCTGGGAGTTGCTGAACAGTGTTGGATGCTGTGGGGAGGATGAAGGTGAAGATAAGCGGATAAGTCAGCAGCACGGTGTGTCGTTGCAGGTGAAACTTCATCTACCCATTGGGACCCACCTGGAAGCTTCCACTGCCAGTTTAAGCCATGACATACCCCTGTGCGAAATGGAGGGGTTCCTCTTTTGCGCCTGTTTGAAATGTTTCCTACTGCCCGCACTGTGGAGGTGCGGCAGTATCTGTTCCCAATGCGGGGTGGGTTGGGGTGCCCACGCCTGTGCGACAGATAGGCAGGAGCTTCCATTTCTGGTGCCGATCTGGTATTTTATGGTAATGTGCAGTGAACGCTGCTTTCCATGTGAGCAGCCCTTCTGGCACGCTCGGGCACGTGCATCCTGCAATGCTCTGCCTCCCCTTTACGGCCTGCAGAGTGGGAAGAGCAGGGGTCTGACAGCAGCACTTTGCACGCCTTTCTCTGGTCTTGCACTGGTGCTAGCAGTGCTCAGAGGCAAATTAGCTCCATGTGGATTCGCTCCACGGTCGCAAGAGTGTATTGTCCATGCCAGCACCTCGAGCCTCCAGCTCCAGCACCTCGCAGCATGGGGGCATGGCAGAGCGCTTGGAGCTGCCCAGCAAAGAGGCCTCATCACCTCAAGATCATGCTATGAACTACACTGGACTGTTGCAGCTTGGCAGCTCCCCGAATTGTGCATCTTACTCCAAACGCATGCCAGGATGGCTGGAGGGACTGCTCCTGTTGCTTTTGGGTCCCCGGTAGAGTTATGGCTTGACAAGACAAGGAAGCACATTTTTGGTTTCTGTTTTTCTTTCCAGACATCCCTTCTTGGGACGAGAAGCAGAGACCTGCCGTTCCCTGCCCCTCCTAATACTGAGCACCTCACCTGGCTGTGCCAGGTAGAGAGAAACGTCCGGCTAGCTTCCTGTCTGCCCCCTTCTCTCTCTTGGATTAACAGAGCAAATGTCTGCATTAGGAAGCTACCGCTAAGTGGTGCATTTGCTTTCTCTGCTTTGCGAGACGGTCTCTGTTCTGGCAGAACTTTGCATCTCTCCTTCTCCTGCCCCACCAGCTCCCTTGCCTGTGCTTTCTTCCAGCGATGTGTAGTAGACACAGAAGACGGGCCAGTGAGGTGGGAAGTCTTGTCCATCCTGCAGTGGGACTATCCTCTCCGTGTCGAAGGAGTCTCCAGTGGAAAAAAGAGAAATAGGCAATGATACAGTTGCATCAAAATGAGCTGCACCGCTCCCCTGGTCCCAACACTTTTCTCTTCCTCGTGGATATTCTCTGCTTCCACCTCTTCCCAGCAGTCCTCCTCTTTGGATGAAAATCATCTTCCTTAGCAAACACAGGAAAGCATGTAGGACCATTGTTCATATGCTAGTGTCATGGAGGGCCTAAGATCTGTTGTCTCCGTGTCATGCCCCTGTTGCAAACATAGGTCAAAGGCAGGTCTGGAGTTTTCTTTTTCCTTTTTAAGGCTTTTCCTTGGTCTTTGCTGTGGCGGCTCTCCTTTCAGCCCCAGGTGTAGCACACCTCCACACAACCAACCAGATGCTCTTTTGAGGCTCCAAGTAAAAATAAAGATGCTAAATATGTAAGAAAGCACTGAGTGAAGTAAGGACCTGTGCTATTGCCCCTTTACAGGGGCCCATACATTTTTCTCAGGAAATCAAAGAGCCACAGGTGTTGAGTAAATCTTCATTTCTGCTGCCCTTCATTTCTCCAGTGGATCGCAAACAACTTGCATCTGGTCCAGACCAGACCAAATGGATGTCTACGTATCCCGAGAAGAGGGATCTTCATTTTACCTCCTTAGGTGTTTGCCACGTGGGCTGGGGCAAGTCCAGTCCTCTCCTGGTTCAAAGGGTCTCCTCCCTCTTGGCTCCTGGCAGGAGGCTGTGCTCCTCCTTTCATGACTGCCTGCCACTCTGCAGTTTGGCCCCTCTCCTTTCCCCACCTCCTCTGCCTGCAACCTGGTTTCTCTCCCTCTCTCCTTCCCTCTGAGCTCAGCCCCTCTCGCCTGCCTGTGTTTCCGAGCTCTGCCCCCTCCAGCTGGAGACTCGGGTTTATCTGGAGGCAGAGGGGACTCATTTGGGAGCTGAGATCCGGGACGTGAAGGAAGGAGCCGTTGAAACCAAGAGAAGAGAAAGGGTTTAGGAGCTACGAAGGGACAGAGCCTGGAGACCATGGCTGGATTCTCAGCTCTGGGGCTGCTCTTTCTTTTTCAGCTATTAGCCACATCCTCAGCTCAGGTAAGAATTTTCTTTTACATCTAATGGCCAAAACCACCAGCCACTGCAGTGAGCATTGCATCAAGAAGCAAGAGTATTACAGAGCTGCAGGGTGAAGTGCACTGCACATCCTACTGCACATCTTATTAAAGTTTGTGTCTAAAACTAAGACAGGGTACCGCTTGGGCATTTCTGTCTGTAGGTGCCTCGCAGTTGGAGAAACAGTGTTTGCATTCACATTGGCAGGCATTGAATACATGCTCCAGGAAACAGACCCTGCTACTTTTGAAATGTCGCTACAGGAGCCATCCTCCCAGTTGTATCACTGCAAAGAAAACCTCCCAGACAAAAGACAGTGTTGACCTAAAGAAAGCAGTTTTGCTTTACTTTACAGTATCATGTTGCTCACTAAACGAAAAATCTCGTGTCATCTCGCTCTTCATCTTATTCAGAGATTTTTTTTCCCCTCTTTCCCTTAGTTGGTCTATTTTTAAAGCATCTTTAGGAAAAGCACATTGAATCCTTATTTGAAACTATGTGCATTCATAGCAAGCGCCCTGATCGTGGCATTAATTCTCTAACGTATCACGCGGGAAAACCTTTCCATGTGGGTTTTTGTATTGCATTCACGAAGGAATTTTTGCAGCCTGGCTCAGGAATTTGGAGCCGACCCTCATCTGGTGGGAGCAGAACTGGCTCCACAATGAACCTTTGTTCCCTGAAGCTGGATGGCAGGTTACTCTTGGGAGTCATTTCCACAGAGCAGGCGTTTGTAGAGCCCCTCTTCCCCCACCCCTGCTCCAAAAAGCCAAACTTCTGTCCGGCTTAGAGAAGAAACTACCCAAGAGTGGTTTGTTTAACTCTGCTTTTCTGCACACTGTCCCTGCAAGCTCTCTCTCTAACTGGTCCCCCGTAGAAAGGGGCTCACTTTGAACGCTGAGTACATGCCCATGTGTACGCACGCTATTCTAGCACGGGTAGGCATGCCTTTTTCTTCTGTGTCTCCAGTGCAAGCTGGGTTTGGGACTTAGGAAGCCAGACCCTATCAAACCAAGTTCCTCGAGGGACCCTGCCTGTTTCCAAACTGACATGGGTTCAAGAGCAAATAAAATTGCTGTAAGCTTTTCAGTTCAGTAGACTTGCTCCTATCCAGAGGAGATGGGCTGGGTGTCCCATATGTGTGGAAGATGTGCTCAGATTTTTAATGTGCAAGGCTTGAAAAATCCTATCCTGAGCTCTTACTTTCCCTGATCTCCAACCTGCTCTGCTGGGCTCTTCTAATGCAAAATCTCTCTCTTTCCCCCGACTCTCCCAGAGAGCAGGACCACGAGGCCCTCCTGGACCAAAAGGACTCCCTGGATCACCTGGCAAGGACGGCATCGATGTGAGTGTTGTACGGCAGGGGGCATCCACATCTGGGGGAGGGGAGCGGAGCGGAGGTGGAGCAAGGGGAGGACTCATTTTCATGGAGGAGTTCTTCTACTTCTCCAGCCTTCCAGACAGAAGCTCCAGCCAAAAAACAGCCCATCTGCCATGTGCAAAGAGGCAAAGTGCACTATCCTGCAGGAGACTCAGGTGCTGAGTACCTGGAGATAGCTTCCAGTACCTTGCAGGTCCAAGCCCTCAGTGCCATCTAAGATTTCATGGTGCATACAACAAGGAGGCTTTCTGAACTTTCCAAACCTCTTTTAGCTCCTCTCTGGCGCCTGGGTGGGACATAGTTTGAAGGCTGGAGGACAGCGGTGGGTTTAGTGCAGCGTGCAGTACACTGAACGGTGTTGTTGCATGCATAGCATGTTGTGTATTTTGTTTCAAATATTGCAGACCCCCCTGGGTCTCTAAGACACCCTCTGGAAAACAGAATTCAATACATAGGACTAGACTGCATCCTACCGGTGTTACAGCCCAGGCTTCAGTAAAGTTACTCCAGGTTTACGTCGGTGTGATGGAGATCACGATCTGGCCCATCAGTTCCTATGGAAATGTATGTTTCTTTAGTCATAGGAAAACACAGGAAAGTCTATAGACTATATTTTTGGGGTAAAATTCCTTATTATTGACCTTTCCCCATGGCTGCTGGGGCAGCAGCTCGGCTGCTGCAGGCTGTAGTGCACAAGGAAACCTTGTCCTACTGTTGTCAGTTGATGTTTCCACTGAGATGAAACACCTTGGCTATTTGTAGCCACTGGATAAAGACAGTATTTTTGCTTTCCATCCTACTGCAGTGGATCAAACCGTTTCAAGAAAACTGGATATTTCAGATCCTATCAGCCAGATTACGTTCATTCATGCTGTTTGTGCCTAACTCCATGATCTGCTCAGCCCTTTAGGCAGACTTGCAAACTTCTGCTTGTCCCAGGGAGCTAATTTGGTTTCAGCTGAAAAGGCCAAAAAGCTAGACTTGTTCTCCTCAAGGTAAAGGGTGAACAAGGAGGTTTTGTGTCTACGACTGTACATGTGTATAAGCATTTTGCAAGACTGAACTTATATAAAAACCTCTCTGTTTCTGCAGCCCGTCCCCTACCCATGTTCCTAGATGAAAGAAAATCATTTTATTCAATATGTTTATTCTACTTTTGCAACGGTGGATGGTTTAGAGGAGGAAGATCAGGAATTCCTATCTGCCTTTGGGGAATATAAAAGTAAGGGGATGCAATTTAAAGTGATAGAGGGCAAAGGAAGCACTTGCATGACGCCCGATTTAACCTGTGGAACTCATTGCCACAAGGTATTGTCACAAGGTATTGTAGATAAGGGGTATTCAGGGAAGGATTGGCTTTATCTAAGGAGAACAGCCAGAGTGATTAAAGGAAGACAACGAATCCTGGGAGGCGTTGAGACCTCCATGCTTCAGGCTGCATTAAATTCTAGCTAGTTTCAGGCACTTCTCCCCGCTTGTCTTATAAGAGCTTTTATGGGATTTCTTGAACTTTCCTCAGCAGCAGTTACTTCTGCCAGCTGCCAGCAACAGGATTGTGAGCCAAGTGAGGGACTGGTATGATCCAGGGGGGCAATGCCTGTGTCACAATTGCTAGGGGATTTATTGAACAAATTCCCACTGACATAGGAATTGGCGTCAAACTGTATTTTAATAATCCAAAGATCATAATGCAGCCAAGATGCTCCTACTGATGTGCAAGGATTGTTTAGATAGCAGTGTAGGGTGTGATGTCAGTTTTTCTCACCCAGAAAGAAAAAGGAAAGAAAATATTTTTTTTCCCCATGCCATACACATGGTGTTTGCTTCCAGAAACTGAGCCCCATGTCTTCAGAGGATGTGCTCTTCTGGGGGCCTCTGTTCTCGAGTCCTAGCCTCTTCCACCTAGCAGGCATTGAAGTGGTACTTTCTTAGGATTGCACATAGATGCCTAATATCACCTCACTAGAGTCCCTGAAAAACCATTCACACAAAAAAGTGGGTGGATGGGTCTGTAGTGTTTATTGTGACTCAGTCTTAAGGCTCAGGTGAAGGCATATCAGAAAAGAAGATGCACCAGGGATCATCCAGGGACTCGAGCAGCATGGAATAGGATTGACCTTAAGCACTGAGATAACTAAGTGCCTCTTTATGCTACTTACGAGGTATCAGAGTCTGGTCGTTGGGGCCTGAACACGGGTAGCTCTAGTCTGAATCAAGTCTGAGAACCCAAACCCTGTAGTCCTGGTCCAGGGCTGGCGTGTGTAAAGTTTGAGAGCGTTTACCATGTGAAGAATGCAGGATGTATCTCATATGCTTCATTTAGCTGCATATGAGCTAAATGAAGCATGCAAATGAAGGATGTAGCAAGACCAAAAAGGAAACCATCCTTTCCTAGAGTCCTAAATGGGAGATGCTCCTCCGTCCTTCAGCATCCGATTTTGCTAGCACCTCTTATCATGATGATTCCCCTGGATTTGCCTTGAGCCTCCTGTGATTGGTGTGCAGTGCAGTGGCATGGCCTTCTGCGGAAAGAGCAGCCTTTTTCCTGCCGCAGCGCTCTTAGAAGGCATTTATGGTGCGTGCAGCCCCACATCGCTGTGCCCTTTTACAGCACTGAAAACCGAGGGTCCTGTTGAAGATGGTGCCTTAAACGAAGAGTAGCGGTGTGAAGTCTAACACTGCGAAGAACAAAATTGCTATTTTACTCTATACCAGTGAGATTTCAAAAAACACACACGATCAAAACTATTCTTGATCATTTTAAAATATTGCACTTTCTCTGTGGATTCATTTGGGGGGTTTTTTTTTTGTTTTCCTTCCTATTATTTCTCCAAATCATCCCAGCCAGGTTCTGTTTAGAGGGGGCGGTTAAAGAAACAGCAAAATCTCACAACAGCCTCTGCGGCTGGATGCATGCTGCAAAAATGTACAGCAGCTACCTTCATGTAGGCCCTACACAGGGAGCGGTACATAATACACAACTGAATTATTCAAGCCAACCGTGCCCAAGCCTCAGATGAACCCAACGCTAGCTGTGCCATTGCCAAGAGCTCCTTGTTTCACTTTTGCCTTTCAGGAGGTGCTATACCTTTCAGTCCCATTGAAGTCTCCGATAATTATACCTTTTAAAATACTGCATGTTCCATGCTCCGTAACGAGGTAATTGCTCAGCTCCCTAGAATAGACGGGGTGTGTCGTGAATTAAACCAGCTACCTAAGACTTCCTTTGCATTAGCTCCAGGCGTGTAATGTTAAAGAAACTATTGTCAGTTTTCTAAAAGCAGTTTTTTTCCCCTTAATACAGTCTTGCTGAGAATAAGTAAACTGGCTTCCCTCTCACATAACACTGGAGACAATTATGCTGTTGCTGACGGCAGTTGCTTCTGATTCACTACCGATGCTGACGGTGATCTGCTAGTAGAGGGGTAAAATAAAATACCAGGCTCCAATTCTGACTAGACTTTGGTACCACAAACCCCGGTACCCCTGCAAAGTCCTTGGTTCAGTTGAGGCCCAGGACAGTGGCTTTCTCTAAGCTTGTAGCCTTACTGCCAAGTCTGGGTATCGCTGACGCCTTTGAGGAAGGGGCACAGAGATGGCAATGTCTGGGGGGAAGAGGCTAAACCTACTTATTGCCATTCATAACTGCTATTCCAAACCAGCCGTCTCAACAGAACTGCTCCCTTCATTTTTGTTAGCAAAGAGCTTTCCCAGCTTGGAAAACGATGTCTATTTATGGCAGGTTTGTGGGCAAAGTACTGCAGTGGGATTGCTTCAGCAAGCATGAGCACAAAGATGCCCTCTGTTTGCTGCCTGTCCAGCCTGTGCCTGCTCTCCATCACTGCAAGATGCAAATCCCTGTGCTCTCACTGGAGGCAGTCGGACCAAAGGTGGGGCCGTGGGGGTTGCATGGGCTTTCCAGTTGCTAATTCAGGAACTATAGAGCGATTATACAGACTTCCACGTTAGCTTGTGCCTTCATAGCTCCCTACTGTGAGGCCCACTTGGACAATCTCTCCCTTCACATCTTCCTCCTGCTAAGACATTTTGCACCTCGGGCCTCCCCAGCAAACATAATTAACAAAAGATTAGTATTAAATTACACTTCTTTCTAGTATCCTGGCTCTGTTTCCCTTCCCAGATATCCTTTTGCCCTTGGAAGTTTCTTTGCCTAGAGTTCAGTCGTTGCATCGTCAGCCAAGAGCACTCTCAAATGAATTGCTTGCATAGTTGTTAAAATCTGAAGGAGGATGGCTCGTGGCTTCACTCCTGCGCATTGAGAGGTGGTCTTGCAGGTAAATCCTTGAAGTGATGTTTGCAGTTTCCTGCAGGTAGGCATCACTAGGGTTTGAGGCACAGGGAAAAATGATTAATATTCCTCTGTCTTCAATATTCTGCTCACATAAGAGAAACTCTCCGGGTCGTGTTATGCTCCAAGAAGCTAATGCCTCCCTTTTCTGCCCTTTGTGCTGGGTGCCCTGCGCCAGAGGGGATGTGACTGGAGGTGCCTCCAGCTTTAGACCCCAAACCATGGCAGCAGGGTCATAGGAGGAGAAAAGGTCCATTATGGCCATTGGTGCGGCCTCTCCTAGGGCCCAACTCAGACAGATCTGAGGCATCTTGAATGTGCTTGAGTAACCCAGTTATATGCTTGCTTTCATTATTTAATAAGAAAATGATCCTTCCAAAGCACTCAGACCATTAGACCGCACTTTGCCCTTCTAGTCGTTCTGTAACAGAAGATGATCACATCTTTCAGGAAATGAAGATAAAGTACAAATTGCACATGTTCCTTCCTACTGTTTTGCCTTGGGCCAAATATGTGCAGCATCCCAGTGGCTGGGAGCAGGCAGGAATAACCCCAGTGGAAGTGGCTCCTTTGTTGCAAGGACTTAGCTCTAGTCAACCAGTTGAAAGTGTTTTTCACTGCCTTTGTCCCATTATTTTCATGGTCTGAGTTGAAACTGGCCTGCCAGAGATGTGTCACCAATAGGGTGCAAAGGGGAGATGGAAAGCCCTATCTGGAAACTCGTTTGGCTTTGGCCCTGATTTTTGCAACTGAATGGGATGGAAATCAGTTTTCTGTCCGTCTTCCCTTGAAAATTGAATCCTAACGCTAGAGCCTTTGAACGCTTCTTCACACATGTAACCTGATCAATGGTTTATTGTCTCAAGTCCTCTGGGGAGTGTCACAAGCCCTCGGGCTGCGCCTCAGCGTTTCACTTTGCATTTAGCTAAGTCAGCAGAGAAATATGCACAAGCTTGAGCAGCCAGACAGCTTCTTCCCTGCTCCGTCTGCAAAAAATCTCTGGGTCTGGGATCACCCACGCTCCTGGACCAGCCTTCAGAATCGATGGATGTACCTGGAGAAGCCGGTACATAGCATTTGGGTTTTGCTAAATCTGCTAGTGCAAGCATGGCAGATTTTGAAGGGCTCTGATCCCTTCTACAGTGTGGTGGGGTCAGCAGTTTCAGTGCATCATAAGCACCTGGATGTCCCTGTAATGGGCACTTCAGTCCAAATGACGGCAATTCTCAGCACGAGGCTGGGGAGAGATTTGAGTCTGCTGCTGCCTATGCAAATGGTGGCTGCAAAGATACAGGGATGGAGAGAGATCTGAGTGCTAATATTGATGTCTTTTCTCATTCCCTTAGGGAGAACCTGGCCCACCTGGCTTGCCTGGCCCAACAGTAAGTATTTACGCAGCATCAACTGTCTTATTTTCTCTTGTAAATCTGCCGCAAGGAAATAATGCTTGTGAATCACTCATTTTCCAGCAATAAGAGTCATCAGCAGCACTTTCTCCCTCTCAGTCTGTAGGAGAACTCCTACACATGTTTAGCGAGCAGGCTAAGGGGGAACGACAGCTTGTCGTCAGCACTGAACCTGAGAAGAAGCGTCCTCGTAGCTAGGAGAGCAGATGGTTTGAGACGAAGGCCAAGGAGAACAGAGTTAAAATCAGGAATAAGCAGGTTCACAGGGAGATGCTCCAAAGTGTATGAGCGTGTATGGGATTTGCATGTAGATGAATTATGAAATCTAATTTATTTAGCAGAAAGTCTCCTGTGTCACAGGGCATGACATTAATATTTTAAGAAAGGATCTTATCACTGTCTCACTTACATCAGGGCATGTGTTGGTAATTATATTAACAGTCATTGTCTGTTATCTGGTTTAGGGACCTAAAGGTGCACCAGGGAAGCCTGGAAAGCGTGGAGATGCTGGGTTACCTGGCCTTCCTGGAGTGGATGTGAGTATTTCAGCTTATTCTCCTGGATTCTTCAAGCACTTTCTGTTGGCATGGGCATTTTTCCAAGGCAGCTTGTCAACTTGCACTAAATCTACTGGAGCAGCAAATGTGGGTACTGAACTGAATCAGAGTCTTGTACGCCAGGAGAAATCTGAAAAGACAACTGGACTGTCAGCAAATCTGAATTATTGTTGGGGTTTGCAACATGTTATTTCATGCAGCATTATGTCAAAACCTACAGCATCGCTGGTGCACCATAGGACCGAGCTGTCTGTGACCTGTTTGGATCACAAGACCAGCACTTCATCTTCATGGGAACTCTGTCCAGAGAGCCGTTGCCTCTCGTTATAGTTTCAGATGATTTGAGACAGGTAAAACATTTGCATCGTCAGGTGTTTTTTGTGCTGGCAACTGAGTCTGCCTTTGCTTGCGTTCTTTGTACCCGGCTAAATCAAGGGACAAATTGACAAGATTTCGGGTTTCTTTCAGGCTCTGTTACCAGTTGATCCAGATTCTCAAGCTTCAGACTAAGCGTATTCAGTCCTTTAAGGATTTTGTTGGATGTCTGTGACTTTCCAGGACAGAAAAAAACAAGTTACTAAAATCTCTGACAGGAGTGTTGTTTAATCAAGTGAAGAAAGAGTTGCATATTTTCTGAACCAAAAATGGGGAAACAAAACATTAAACGGTTCAGGCTTGGTCAGCAAGCTAAGTTCTTTCCGAATGCAGGAATTTAGCCCAAATTCATATTTTTGAATCCCTCTGTTTTCCATGGTTTAGTGTGTGTGCACTCCTGGCTTTCAGGACAAATAAGGCCAGGCTGTTGTAACCATGCTACCAAAAACAAGGCACTTGTATTATATCTAGTAGTGTTGATGTAATAACAGACTGAACAGTCATCCATGGATGCACTGCAATGCAGCATTATTCCTTACCATCCTTCTGCTCACTGTGCATTGTCTCTGCCTTTTAACTATCATATATTTACCCTTCTTGTGAGGACGGACTAGGTTCATGCAGAGATCTGCAGCTTCCAGAGTCGCTGCCTAGTTGCTGCCTGCCGGCAAACATCTAAGCTGGTGACATCCAGCTCTACATCCATTGACCCAGACTCTGTAACATTGTACTGCTCCGGCAGGGTACAGCCCTGGAAGTGAAACCGGCTTGAAAGAGGCTGTGTCTGCTTTCATCTCCCTGCTAAAAGAAATTCTAGCCAAGCAAGAGTAAATTATCTGACCTGTGCAGGGTTTCAGTGTTTGGGCTGCAAACACAGTGAAGATATTCTCAAATGCAAGCTTATTTATCTAAAAAGTGTTATAAGAATCTTTTTATTACTATATATATAGTAAAGATTAAAACTATATATATAGTGTGTATGTGTGTGTGTGTGTGTAGCTGTAGATACTACAAGAGAAAAGGAAGGTGTACAATCACAGTTGATTATGGGGAACAGTTCAACATCTTGCCACCGAAATCAAAGCTAAGATCACTCAACGGGAGAAGTCTTTGCAGAATGAGACCTTACAAGACAACCTTTTCAAATTAAACTGAGCCTCGGGATTAAGTGAGAGAGGCTGGAAATTTATGGGCTGCAGGCAACAAATAGATGACGACTGAATTTTTTTTTCTTAACATTTTTTTAACATTTTCACAATGTATTTTTAAACTTCCTGTTCCAAGTCGCAGGCATAACGATCAGTGCAGTAACTATTTTAAAATGACTAATTGATGGAATCTTTTTAACAGCCATATGGGCTTTGGTCATTTACTTAAGTGATAAATTAGACAAAACACTTTATTTTTTAAGAACCGGTTGTTATAGAATCATACAATTTAAGGGAAAACCCCTATGGGTAACAAGCGTTCAAAACTGGGTATAAAAGGTGCATTTGCTGACAGTCATATACATCCACCGTGCGTGTGAACCGTGCATGTGCAAACCAGGTACCTGCATGGGTTCGGTGGGTAGTGAGGAAGTATACAGACTTACACGGGCACCTGTTGAAACTTGCTTTGCCCTACATGTTAGCTCTAGTGAGCTGGTCACTGCTATGGTGTATTTAATTAATATGCCACATGAGTAGAAAAACTTCACACACTTCCAGTTCCTTCTCTGATATCTGATTTAGGGCAAAGTGACCTGGATTTCCTAGGGTTTGGCTGCCTATGCCTAACCCCATAAAGCTCCTTTGTAATCATGACGGGCTGGGGTGGGTTCTCAAAGTGCTTTGCTTCCTTGTCTCATCCCTTCTTTTTATCCCTTCTCAGGGTTTAACAGGAGCTGATGGCCCACCTGGCTCAAATGGGCCACCAGGAGACAGAGTAAGTACGAGGAACCGAATCCTTCATCTGTTTAAACTAAAGTGCTCCAGGTGCCATCCAACGGGGATTTCTAGTCTTTGTGTAGTCAGGCAATGCGCTGGTGTGGATGTGATACACGTGTGTGCCCCTACAAGCCCCTTGGAGTCTTAAAACTAACATCTCCTCTTTTCCCCCAAATTGTTCCTTCCAAGCCATGCACAGGGTCAGGGGGGCGTATTGGGGGTGGGAAACTATAGGCCAGTCAGTCTTACCTTGATCCTGGGCAAGCTGTTCGAGAAAATTATTCTGGCACACATCCAGGAGGGGCCGGCAGGGAAATGCATGCTCAGGGGCAACCAGCACGGGTTCATCAGCGGCAGGTCATGTCAGACCAACCTGGTGGCCTTCTACGATCAGGTCACTAAATCATTGGATGCAGGGGTAGCAGTGGATATAGTCTTCCTGGACTTCCGGAAGGCTTTCGACACTGTCTCTCACCCCGTTCTCATTAGGAAACTGGGGGACTGTGGCGTAGACACCCACACAGTCCAATGGGTCGCCAACTGGCTAGAGAGCCACACCCAGAGGGTGGTAGTGGATGGGTCCTTCTCGGCCTGGAAGGACGTGGGCAGTGGGGTCCCGCAGGGCTCGGTCCTCGGGCCCGTCCTGTTCAACATCTTCATCAGTGATTTGGATGAGGGGGTGCAAAGCACCCTGTTCAAATTTGCTGATGACACCAAGATGTGGGGGGATGCGGGCACGATAGAAGGGAGCAACAGGCTACAGTCAGACCTTGACAGGTTACAAGGATGGGTGGAGGAGAACAGGATGGGGTTCAACACAGACAGGTGCAAGGTGATGCACCTGGGGAGAAACAACCGGCACCATACTACAGGCTGGGGAACTCCCCTTTTGTCAGCACGGAGGTGGAAAAGGATCTTGGAGTCATTATTGACTCCAAGATGAACATGGCTCGGCAGTGTGGGGAGGCGGCTAGGAAGGCCAACTGTACCTTGTCGTGCATCCACAGATGCATTTCAAGCAGGACCAAGGAGGTGATCCTCCCCCTCTATGCGGCACTGGTCAGGCCGCAGCTGGAGCGCTGCGTCCAGTTCTGGGAGCCGCACTTCAGGAGGGATGTGGACAGCAT